AAAGCTTTTTAATATTTGGAAACTTATTTAATTCAGTCAGGGTTTTGTTCTTTCTTTGTTGTTGTCGTAATCTAGTTATGTTATTGCGATTATTTGCCAAACACATTACCCATAGTTAGGATACAAATAAATTATTTAATAAATGTAGCAACCTGGCCACCGGAAAATCCATTTGGCCACCTGAATCTCATACTCAAGTGGCCCGGCCGGCCACCTGAAAAAAAAGTTAAGGGCAAGCCCTGATCTATGGCAGAATGTGCTATAGCCCTGCGGCAGCGATCCGCAGGCTATAGTACTAGAGCTAATTAGATAGTAGTATTTAGTGCCAGGGTACGTTCCGGTATACCGGACCGTACCCAGGGTACGTTCCGGCAATACCCTGGGGGACATAGACCCCATCCGCACTACTACTACTATACTGATACAGTGATATAGTGATACAGTCTTTAATTTTGTTCAGCATATAATAATTACTATATAAGCCAAAGCTAAGGTCTTTTTGCACATTAACTTTTTTCCTATAACAAGTAAAAGTGTTAAATATTAAATATAAAGTAGAAATAATAAAATTATGTGGTTATTACATGCTGACGTTGTTCGCTAACATCATAGCCATGCAGTATATACAAATTACAATGATTTTTTGTCAGGATAAAATTGACATGTCGAAGTTTCCAGTAGAAAACATAAGAAATTTCTGTATCATTGCACATGTGGACCATGGGAAGAGCACACTGGCTGACAGACTTCTTGAGATCACAGGTATGTGACTTGTCCATGGCGGTCCAGGTGGTACGTGCACGCATGCGCACATAGACGTGCGTTGCTATCAACCTTGTAATTACCAATAACTTATAGCCAATATCATTGCAATTGGAACAACTTTCATCTGCAATCTGTTTAACATGTAAGCATGTACTGGTTGATAATGATAGTCAGTGTGGTAATTGTTAATGCGTATGATAGCGATCAATAGTCCTATATGAAATATTGCTACATTTATAACATTCTTGTAATGAGTAGGGAGCATGCATGTATGTGTGTCTCTGATGTACAGGTGCAATCGTAAAGCGAAGTGACAACAAACAGGTGCTTGACAAGTTGCAAGTTGAACGTGAGAGGGGAATCACCGTAAAGGCCCAGACAGCTTCCTTATTTTATGAATACAGAGGAAAAACCTACCTTCTCACCTGATAGACACACCTGTAAGCATGTGCAGCACAATGTAAATCATTTATAGTTTGAATTTTATTGTGAACTTTGTGTTTCATTTGTGGATCAAAAAACGCTTTTAGATCGCAAATATGAATACATGAGGCTGCAATCGATTCTTACATATTATTATGTTGTACCCCCCATATCAGCCACCTCTCAAAAACGTTTTCAAAAAACCTTTTCTGTACTCCCTGAACCTTTTAAGTTAAATTCACTTTTTTTATCCATCTACGACTGACACAGCAATTATAAGGCCCTAACTCTAAGTAATTAATAACGAAGTGATGTGCATGTTGTTTCAACAGGGTCATGTTAGATTTCAACTATGAAGTTTCACGTGATCCTCTTGTCAGTCATGCCAGGGGAGCTCTATCTCCTAGTTAGCAAGCCAATCAAGTGTAAGTTCATAAATACTTAAAGTAATAATAATAAAGTGTAGTAAATAATAAATACCAAGTTTTTTCATTCTGTCAATACACAACAACACACAAACACTTGAAAAGGAATCCATATGGGAATGAAAAGAACATACAGCCAACTTGATCAATAATTGGTTAATCACTCACAATGTTATGAATGATGCCTGCATGTTATGTGCCAAATTGTTTTATTCTTATACAGGGATACACAGCACACGGACTGTCGCTAACAGTTCTTCTTGGCATTTGATCGGGAGCTTACAGTCATTCCTGTCTGTAAACAAAATTGACTTAAAAAATGCAGACCTCCGGAGATGTGTATTGCACAAATGAAGACGCTTGACATGAGTCGTGCAAATTCTCCTGGTATTTTTTGACTGCCAGACTTATGCCTACTTGTAATTTATTTAGTTTTGTCATATATTAAAGACTAGTGATATGCCTATATATTATAAAGTACTGTTTTCTACGCCAAGAACTCTGCAACCAGTTTTCAATCTTTTATTATTAGCTGCATCTCGAACATAGTTCAGAATCAGCTTGTTAGAATCGCACGATGCGCCGTCCGTGCGTCCGTCGTCAGCCGTCAAACAGTTGGGCACAATATCTTAACCGCTCGACGTACCGGTCACGATATTTGGGACGTGGGGGGTAACCGAAAACGAGTTGGGATGTCGAAGCTGGGGTCAAGTCAAAGGTCACGAGGTGGTAAAATAAGGAGGAACAATTCACTCCTTAAACTTAAGGTGATAGGGAGGAAATGCAGAATTGCGGAAGCAAATCTAACAACGGCTCCGACGCTAAAGGTTTGTGATAGTCCGGTGTATAGCAATTCATGAGGAAAAGCCATCAACTCGTGCCGAATATTGGAGGTCAGCAGGTCAAACGTCAATTTGGGCATAGGCAGATTTAGATCATTTTTCATGAGGAATGGTCTGACGGAGCATTGAAAAACGTTTTTTGTTTTCAGCGGTGACCTATCCATTTTTATGGCTTTATTGAAAGGACCATGAAATGCTGCTTTCCAACTGAACGTGCGAAGAGTAGTGCGCTGATAACCTTTGACCTCTCAGAGGAGGGATTTAAACATGTTTGTTATACTGTTACTGTGTTAAGAAAGAATTCTGACTGGCTGGTTGCTAGTAGAATCTATACATGCCTGGATGTATGAGGCTAAATGTCACAGTGAAATTTTCAAAAGCTAAATCTGCTTGACGAAGGTTTTATGCTTCCTTAATCGTAATAATTTCTATGGCATCTGTAACGTGTCAGTCGTGTTAATATGCCAACTGCCAGTGCCACTTGACCAAGTGGCATGGTGGCTGGTGAAGTAAGGGGGGGGGGGGGGGGGGGGGGGGGGGGGGGGGTCGGTGTATGTTTTGGCCTGCGTGAATTAGCGTACAGGTGGCAGCTTCTATTGCAGCCTGTAGGAGGTTAAACATTGAATTCGTGTTTCTCAGAACTGCGTTGGCGAGTACCTGTGGTTGTGGAACGCTCCCCATTTTACAGTGAAATTCCACAACATAACTCTTACTTGAACAATGCGTTACTTAGGAGATAATCGATGAGTTATATATGAGATTCTGTAGTGTAGCATTTATGAATAGTTTGGAATAGTCATCCTAGCAACTCAAATAATTACCCCAGGAGAAGAGGCTGTGGATTTCCCCAGACTTAAATTTTCTCAATCAAATTTTGGCAACCAATATAGACGCAAATGTTGTAACGTTCTTGAGCTATTCGGTCCACTTAATCAACTGCCTACCTTGTTTGTTTTTGTATTTAATAGGGTTAGGGGTCACAATGCCACCATAAAACATTAGTTTCAGGCACGGATTCTGGATCAACACGGGATTGGGAAGTTATTGCAGGAATGCAGAAGGTTGCTGAAATGAATGTGTACGCAAACGCGTAATCTGCATATCTGCCCTAACAAAGTGTGTCACTACGCACAACTTAAAAATGTGTATCGTTTTATACCGGTAGCAACAGACCTCAGATGAGCCCCAGACGCTCTGCGGGCTCTTGTCTTTGTTTTACGATTTCTGGTTTTCTGGGCATATATACATACAATACGCAAGTATAGCTGTCAATATAACCCTATATTCTCAGCAGCTGAGTCATCTCTGCATTTGATGGAAATATGGGAGATAACTTGCTGTCGAAACAATTAAGCTATCCGCATTCAAGTGAGATAACCTTGCCCTCCTTTGATATTGTAGCTAGGCAGTTTGATAGCTTGAATGAGTTCTCGTTTATCTGCTGTCACAGTGTGCATGCCAAAAATGTTGACTTGTTTGCAGCTTTGCTGTCAAGGTTTGTTCTTTAAACATCCTATCATAGCAACGATGGTATCGCTAACTGTCAATTATGTCCGCAGATAGGTCACACTAGTTTAAAGAAACACTTAGATGAAAGAAAGTTATTTGTAAGGCAAAGCTGCAAAATAATATCTGTAATAATTTTGGGAATCAAGCGATGAATTGATGTGATTGTCCTCATAACTGAACAGCTATTTGTTATATTATACGGTTTTCAGCAAACTTGGCAAATGGAGTTGAAGAACTGCTTCATAGAAATTATCGAAAGGATCCCACCGTATGTATATTTATATGTATAGTATCTTATTGAAATGAAATGTTCACGGCTGAGACTCGAGTACGAGGGCATCACGAATAGGGTAGTTTTCTGGGACATGTGGAGCGTAATATCATGTGGTCTACTTGTGTTTTTACCATAGTGCGAATATAATTTAACGATTTCTTTCACATGAAACAACAGCAAACAATGAATAGACGGCAGCGATTAACTATCAAAGGTCTATTTGCACAGTAATTATCAGTAACAGAATGATCGAGATGTTAATTGTGTGTGAATACAAGTTTAAGTACATGAGTGGGCCCTCTGCACAATATCAGCGCTAGTTCCCTAAGCAAGGCCCCAGGGACAGACATGCTTTCACCGCTGAAGGCCTGGTGTTCGATCTCCTCGCTTATGACCGCTACCAGGCGTGAATAGCAAAACGCGGCGATCCGTCGATGTCAGTGTCAAGGTCGGCGATCGCGTGACCATTCGCATTCTACACAGAATAACCTATGAGGTGGCAGAAGCTTGGAGTCCAGTGCGTCCCCAGGCAGAAGCTGGTTAATTCACTGGTAGCGGTTGCAGCTATGCAGAAAGAGTGGGGAGTAAGAGAGCATAGAAGAGCGAGAGAGAGCGAGAAAGAGGGGAGAGAAGAGAGAGAGAAGAGAGAGAGAGAGAGAGAGAGAGATAGAGAGAGAAGAGATGTAGAGAAAAAAGAGAGAGAGAAGCGAGCGAGAGAGAAAGAGAAGAGAGAGAGAGAGAGAGAGCAAGAGAGAAAGAGAGCAGAGAGAATAGAAAGAGAGAGAGGACAGGGCGAGAGAGAGAGAGAGAGAGCAGAGAGAGAGAGAGAAAAGAGGGAGAAAAGAGAGAAAAAGAGAGAGATAAAGAAGAGAGTGAGAGAGAATAAGAGAGAGAGAGAGAGACTCAGAGGGAGAGAGGAAGAGAGAGAGAGAGAGAGAGAGAGAGAGAGAGAGAGAGAGATGAGAGAGCGAGAGAGAGAGAAAGAAAGAGGAGGGAGAGAGAGAGAGAGAAGGGGGTTGGGGGGGGGGGGGAAAAAAGAAAAAGGGAGAGAGAGGAGCCGAAAACAGAGATCGCTGATAGCAAGAGAGCATACAATGTTTATTATCACCCAGAATTTGATAGTGGCATGCTCTTTTTATGTATTGTCTATGGTCCGAATTGCTTCCTAACTTGATTGCAGGAGGCTTCAATCTGTTTTTTTAATGCTGCTCTGAACATGTGATCATTCACTATTAATGGTGGCTGTCTAACAATGCGTCTATATAGTACGAATGTTTGTATAGAGTTTAACATAGCTAGCACGGCTCGTTATCTAATCATTTTCTGTATGTCTTCGCCCCAGCTATGCAGGACAGATTGTCTTCATCGACTTGTGAAACATGAAGAATGCGAGTGAGGCATGTGTGGGTGACACTATTCTTCTACAAGGAAAGCCTGTGGAAGCATACATGTATATATTTTTTGTTTGATCAACCTGCAAGCCAATATGGTAACGTAGTTGGACCGGGCACGTTGAATCGTATTAGTAGCTTGTCACATCAAAAACCAAAAAAGTATTCTTGTAGAACGCAATGTCTAGAATTAACTTGCTTGCAATGATAAGAGGTGGCGTTTTGTTAAATGAGGGGAGTATTAAATTCTTTATTTGCTTGTTGTAAAATATTCACGGTATTTGTCCGGTGGTTTATCCGATCCGACCAGAGATGAGTTTCCCAGCATTGGCGGAGTGCAGTATCAAGCGACTGAATGAATGACTCTAGTGTTAGTGTGGCCATGGGATGCAAAGGTATAATGAATTTTAACCTCAACTGAAACTATACCAAAACAACTAGAGCACTCGAGAGCGCAGACCTCCGCCAAGGCAAGCTGAATTCTTGTCACTGTGAAAAATTTAATTAATTAATTAATAAATGAATATTGGATTGGATCCTGAATCACCACCAATGTAATCATTCAAGTTACCGACATTTACTGACTTATCTGAAATATTTAATTAATTAATTAATTAAATTAATTAATTAATTGGATCCGGATCACCACCAAATGTTAATCAATTCTAAGTTAACCACCCATTTCTGACCTACCTAAAATTGGTATAATTAATTAATTAATTAATTAATTGAATCCGGATCACCTATTAAAATCCTGAAATCAAATTCTAGTTAGCCCATGTGACCTATCCTGAAAATTTTAATGAACAAACTGTACCATAAATTTTCACAGTTAGGCTGTACACAAAGAACGGATGTTACAAACGCCACACAAACGAACAAACACTCAAAACGAAAACAAACAACAACGCCGGATGAAAAACATAACCTCAATTGCCAACACTGCTTGGCGGAGGTAAAAATAGATATATGCAAGAAATATAGCGGCCCCTTAAAATATGCAACATTTCTACATTAATTAATATACTAGGTTACACGGGCCATTTAGGATATATATTGTAAACTAAAGCAACGACTTGAAATGAATTTACCCCCCTGAGTTGAATAGCAAAGACTAGCTCAGTCAACCATGGTTTATGTTTCAATCTTAGCTGTCAAAACTGACAATAAGTGGGTGAGCAGTGTCGTATAATCCACCAGGAATAATTTGGGGAATTGCTGAAAAGCGACAGACAAGGTGAGAGCCTTCCCCGAGGAGTGGCTACTTAGGATAGGGAGAAATTTGAC